ATATATATATACATACACACATACATATATATATATATACATACACACATACATATATATATATATATACATATATACATACACATATATACTGTACATGTATGTATATATATATAATAAAGTAATCTAATCAAGATTTGAAGTCTACATGTTGTTATTAATTCAATTCAATTCATTTTATTTATAAAGCGCCAAATCACAACAAAGTTGTCTCAGGGACTTTACAGGAACATTCACATAAAAACCAGTTAGTAAAGTTCTCTATCTAAGGAATCCAGCAGACAAGATGAATCTTGGCTTCGTTGCAGTCTCCCATCCCGAGGGATTATTAGACGAGCTCTAGTCATTAAAAATAAGGTAATTAACTGTTTCAACTTGGAGCTTCATAAATCCGTTAAAAATGTACTTTAAAAATCAAGTGTTCACAATTTTTTATACTCATAGTATACAGAAGGTTGATTGATTCTAAAATAACGCACATTAATTATTTATGTAAAATTAAGGAGCCAAGAACAACGTACCTTTGTTCAAACCACAACGTATTCACAATCCGGGGGGTTTAAAAATGTCCAGACCGTGCACCCAGCCATTCATAGATTGGCCCAACGATTCCAGTACCTTGTAATTCTTTAAGATATTTGCAGTGTAAGCACTGACACACACCAGGTCTGCTAAAATGACTGGGAATGTCAGTGGAGGCAAACATTACTCCGGGTCTCTGCTCCTTTTTTATTTTTATTTTTTCAAACGGGCGACATTTAAAATTGTACTTATTTTTTCCATGTACCGTTTTTTGTCATCTGGAAGAAGTTTGTCACGATATAGTCACTTTGTTTGGAGCTGCTTTTCAGCATTAGGAAGGAGGATACAGCAGTAACGCCATAGACAAACACCAGAGTTTTTTTCTGAGGACAGTAAACATGGTGGTTGAGACGGGAATGCCCCCACACGCCCCCAACGCAGTGACGTAGGTTCCAAAGCTCTATATGCATCTACTGCATGTACTGACACCGTCTCCACCATCAGAAATGTTAAAAGTTACCCAAACAGATAACCTTGGCTGAATGCAGGAGTGCGCACCCTGCTGGAAATCAGGAACACTGCCTTTAGGTCTGGAAACTCAGAGGAGCTGAGTAGGACAAGAAAAGAGCTGGTTGCTGGTATTAAGAGGGCCAAGGCCACATATGCAAAGAGGATCGAGGGTCAATTCATCTCACAAGACCCTCGGAGCATGTGGAGGGGCATTAAGTGCATAACAGATTATAAAGGAAGGAGTGAACAATGCCCCAAAGACCCATCTCTGCCTGATGCTCTCAACAAGTTCTATGCACGCTTTGAAGACCTGAACAGACCACCCAGCACCAGACCCACCTCACCACCGGATGAAGAGCATCTCAGCGTGACCTCAGCCGAAGTAAGGAGTACCTTCAGGAGGATTAATCTGCACAAGGCAACTGGCCCAGACAACATCCCTGGGAAAGTGTTGAAAGAATGTGCTGATCAGCTCTGTGAGGTGCTGGCAGACATCTTTAACACCTCACTTAACTTGGAGACAGTTCCCACCTGCCTGAAGACTGCCACCATCATCACAGTCCCAAAGAGCTCTACAGTGACTGGTCTGAATGACTATCGGCCAGTGGCCCTCACCCCGATAGTCGCTAAATGCTTCAAAAAACTGGTCATGACTCACATCAAAACAACCATCAACATCAACGAGGACCCTCATCAGTATGCATACCGTGAGAACCGATCAACAGATGATGCAATCTCCTCTGTGGTCCACACTGCACTCAACCACCTGGAGCAGAAAAACTCTTATGTCCGTATGCTCTTTGTGGACTTCACATCCGCCTTCAACACCATGATCCCCCAAACCCTGATGGACAAACTATCCACACTAGGACTAAGCCCCTCCATTTGCAACTGGGTACTAGACTTTTTAACAAACAGACCACAGTTAGTGAGGATCCACAACCTCTCCTCCTCCACCATAACCCTCAGCACTGGCTCTCCTCAGGGATGTGTGTTGGGCCCCCTCCTGTTTACTCTGCTCACATATGATTGTGCAGCTACCCATCCAGGCTGTCACATTGTAAAGTTTGCAGATGATACAGCGGTGGTGGGATGCATCACAAACAATGCTGAGTCCAGCTACAGGCAGGAGGTGGAACACCTGGAGAGCTGGTGCAGAGAGAATAACCTTCACATCAATGTGAAGAAGACAAAGGAGATGATTGTAGACTTCAGAAGGAACAAAAACACCTACACCCCCCTGAACATAAGAGGATCTGCAGTTACAAGTGGTCTCCAGTTACACGTACTTGGGTGTACACCTGAACAACAACCTCAGCTGGAGCAACAACACCACCAGCCTGATCAAGAAAGCTCATCAGAGACTCTACTTCCTCAGACGGCTGAGGTGAGCTAAACTGGGAAGCTCAGTCCTCAGTCTGCTCACACAGCCTCATGCTCATGTTTGTGCTGCTGTTCGACGTAATGTTTTTATGCTATTGGTGCTTAGTGTATTTTTTTTTTTGGGGGGGGGGTTCATATCTT